ACGGACCTTCACTTAACTGTAAGGCCTTAATAGGGCCGTGCGTGATGAAAGTTTAAGGCATCTTAGGTATGTAGGTATGGTAAACTATGCTTTTTAGCCACCCTGAACATCAAACTATAGATATTGGGGGTGCAATTTTTTTTTCTTTCTTTCATCCCTTTTCTTTTTTCTTTTTTTTTTTTCTTTTTTGAGAAATGGCCACATAAAGTTATAAGATAATTCAAGTTCAATGTTTATAGAGAAATGCCAGATGTAGGTGATGGGGAGGAAGGCAGCAAATCACACTGCCATGTGTGTTCCTATGCAACAATTTTGCATGTTCTTCACATGTACCCCAAAACCTAAAATACAATAAAATAAATAAATGGGAAAAAAAAATGTATAAAAAGATGTTATTCAGCTATCTCAAATGTGAGATAGTTGAGGTTGTAGAAGTGGTAAGTAATTATCTTCTTTATTTATTATTTCCTTTAAAATAGTATTTTAAGGCTATTTATTTTGAATAGATAATTTGTCTCTTAGGCTACACTGAATTTTATTTTTAGAATAGTTGAGGGATTATGCTGTGAATATTGAGAGTATAGGTGTAAGAGTGTGGCTTTTTGGAAAAAGTGATCTTTCAGTCACTGGACTTTGAAACAGGATCTGCCTCTGAATCTTGGCAATATGCAGGCTTTTCTCCCATTTTATATAATATGCAAATGACTTGTCTTTCTGCCTTTCCTCATTGGTCTTTGTTCCCTCTTCTACCAGTTCTACCTTCCTGACTTGTTGCAAGACCAAGTTTGATATGACATGGCTTAGTTATTTATTTGCTGGCTTATTGGCTTTTAACTAAATAGAATTTTGTGATTGGGCACAGGCAAGGTCAGTTGTCTCCACCCTTTGATTAGAGCAAGTCATCGAATTTTACATTTATAAAGTGTCTCATGGAGGGGCCATTTTTAAAAAGAGCTCTTTAGACCATTAGTTCATGAGACAGAGATGTTACTCCACTTGGGTAGTGATGGCAGTGATATTCTGGAAATTCTGGTCATAACGGTTTGTATCACTGCTTCCTAACCAAAGCTGAGATATAGTAGCAAGTCTACATGAAAGCCAAAGAGGAGGCACAAAGCCATGAAAACTATGTTGTTTTTTTAGAGCTAATAGCAAAGCGGCCTGAATCTGGTTGCCCCTATGCTTCTGCCTGCCTCAGATATGAATGCAGTAAGTGGGCGAATTGGCTGCTTCTGAGTGGTCTGCAGTATTACCTGGAGTCATGCCCACCCTACTCTGTTATATGCTCCTGTGTTGGTCTCTTCCTTGTGAATGTTGAAGACATAATAGAAATTCCTTGGTTATCTGTCCTTTAAAGTTTTTCAAAATAATGACTTTGAGAGTCTCTGGCATGCAGCTCTATGATATTACTTACTGATCCAGGTAATTTGGTTGCATTTTCCAGGGTGTTCCGCCAATTAGCTTCCCTTTGGAAGGAGAAGGTAAATCACAGTTTTTCACTAGACATCTGGATTTTGTGTGACTGACTTATTTTTTATCAGCTATTGACCCCCAAAACACCAAAACAATGAAATAGTTAAAACATGTTTCCTTCAAGTATGTACTCAAAAAGTCTGGCAATGGTGCATGTGTGCAAGTGTTTTGATTTCGAAAGGGGAAAGTCTTCATTTAACCCTATACAATGTGTATATAATAATATAATTTTAAGGCACCTGCTTCAAAATAGAAACTAGGATGCTGGAGATAATAACAATAAACAAAAATTAAACCAAACTGGGCTCAGTGCCCAGGAAAACTAGCCAGACTCCAAGAACTGGGCAAGGAATAAACTAATAGTGGAGAAAGGCAGGAATGGATAGAGTTGCAACTGCCTCCATTAAAAATGACTGCTCTGCAGTATGATTGTGGTTGAGGAATTCCATGGAAACATTTGTCATAATAGTTGGGGTTCCTGTGTGCCTCATTTCAATGACAAACTTCCAGTGGAACATACCTTCCTAAGATGTGAATCTTAAAACATGCCAGCAATATACAGTGATCTTGCTTTGTGTTTGAGCTTCTAAAATGCTGTAAATTACTTGGAAACAAATGGACCAGAAGTGAAAATTAGGAGCTCATAACAACTTTAAAGTTGGAAAGAAAGCCTTCATGTTTCCCAGGCTTAAATGTTGTGTGATTTACATAAACACAGGAGGAAATTCTCTTTGTGTGTTTAGGGGGTGTGTCTAATACAGGAACCCATGTTTTCCTGTTATTGAAAAGCCTTCTTTAATGTTTTAAGCACATTTGAAGACCTGCCTATATTCCAGGTGTATTGTTTTCTTTAACATTAAAACATCATACGAGCAGGTCACAGTCAGAGAAATCTGTTAGTTCTCCCATTTGTGTCATAGGAGACACAAGAAATAAATGAATCAAATTCAATAGATAAAGTACTGGAAAGACTGTTAATACTGCATGAATTCAGTTAGAGGGAATGGTTGTTCCTACTTGTGAATAAAAGACTAAAATTTCATCTGATTGTGAGTGTTAAGAGGATGATGGCCTGTTAATCATAAAAGTAAATGTAATTGGTATGAAATATTCAGAAGCTTTTAGCAAATATAACTGAAATAATGGGTGATAGAAAGCCAAAACATTATTTGAAGTTAAAAACAAATATTTGCTAAATTCTGGTTGGAGGCAGACAGAGTAGATAGTACTAAGGCGACAAAGGTGGTTTTCAGTGCTGGGAAAGTAGGGTTCTCACCAGATCTAAAGGCAGTGACCACCTTTCATTCCTTTCTCTGGGTCTCTGCTTTCCTGCATTAATGACCCCAGACAATGAAATTTCAATAAGCTATGAAATGCATGAAAGTAGAGTTCTCCTACTCACCAACTGTGATTGGAGCAAGTACTTTCTGTCCTTCATCCCTTAAGAATTCTTTTTGCCAACAGTGTAAAAGTATTCCCATTTCTCCACATCCTCTCCAGCATCTGTTGTCTCCAGATTTTTTAATGATCACCATTCTAACTGGCATGAGATGGTATCTCAATGTGGTTTTGATTTGCATTTCTCTAATGACCAGTGATGATGAGCATTTTTTCATGTTTATTGGCCACATAAATGTCTTCTTTTGAAAAGTGTCTGTTCATATCCTTCACCCACTTTTGGATGGGATTGCTTGTTTTTTTCTTGTAAATCTGCATTAGTTCTTTGTAGATTCTGGATATTAGCCCTTTGTCAGATGGATAGCTTGCAAAAATTATTTACCATTCTGTTGGTTGCCAGTTCACTGTAATGACTGTTTCTTTTACTGTGCAGAAGCTCTTAAGTTTAATTAGATTCTATTTGGTGGGAGTGTAAATTAGTTCAACCATTGTGGAATACAGTGTGGTGATTCCTCAAGGATCTAGAAATAGAAATTCCATTTGACCCAGCAATCCCATTACTGGGCATATACCCAAAGGATTATAAATCATTCTGTTATAAAGACACATGCACACGTATGTTCATTGCAGCACTGCTTACAATAGCAAAGACCTGGAACCAACCCAAATGCCCATCAATGATAGACTGGATAAAGAAAATGTGGCACATATATACCATGGAATACTATGCAGCCATAAAAAATGATGAGTTCATGTCCTTTGTAGAGACATGGATGAATCTGGAAACCATCATTCTCAGCAAACTGACACAAGAACAGAAAACCAAGCACCACATGTCTCACTCATAGGTGGGTATTAAACAATGAGAACACATGGACACAGGGAGGGGAGCATCACACACTGGGGTCTGTTGGGGGGTAGAGGGCTAGGGAAGGAATAGCTGGGGGTGGGGAGGTTGGGGAGGGATAACATTGGAAGAAATGCCATATATAGGTGACGGTGGGATGGAGGCAGCAAACCACCATGGCATGTGTGTACCTATGCAACAATCCTGCAAGATCTGCACATGTACCCCAGAACTTAAAGTATAAAAAAAAAAAAAGAATTCTTTTTGCGATCTGTTGAGCATCTGCATAGTTATTTGAAAGTGTGGAATCTGTGGGGTGATTTGAAAGAAAGAAAGAATATGCCACAGATGCATCGTCTTCAGCAAGTCAGTAATTAGGATCATACTCATTATAGGCAATAGTGATTTCTACTTTTCCCAGTTCCTTTCTATTTAATTTACTGGTTCCTACAACCAGGGTTCAGGAGAAGCTTTTAGGAAAGTCCTTTAAATCCCATTAATTACTTCCTACCCTTGAGTCTCCAAGTCACAAAGTAGGCAGATGTAGAAAAATCAGAGTGCCTCTCCTGTGCCTGATGCTTCACATCAGTCTGAGACATGATGCTGTCCATCTTCAGCACAGAAAGGCTTGGGGAAAGAATTTGCTGAGGCTGAGAGGAGAAATTGTCCTTTTTCTGCAAGTGTGGAGGTGTGCCCAGAACACCAGATTCAATCACAATTAGATGCAAACTAGATACAAACTGGACAATATTAGAGAGCCAAATAGTTTGGGGTTTTTGTTAACTCCTCATCACTGAAACCTAAGATATTTATACTAGGCTATAAAACTAGAAATATACCTTGCAGTTCTCTAGGGGAGCCAATTACTTTCATTTCCTTTTAAATTCAGCCTTTCCTAATGAACCCTACCTGATACCTGTTAGCACTATATGCTTCTTTTCCTGCAAGCTGTAATTGTGCACTTATAGCCTCCATTAAAGGTACTTGGTGTTATACACTTAAGTCATTTTCAGTTTGAATGGATAAAGACATAAATGAAACAGCCCTTACAATTATAATTATATTGTAAACTGCTTGAGAGTGGAGATTATAATATCTATTTCCTGTATGTTCACCCCTAACCAAAGGCGCACATATTCATTCATATTCCCTCCTTTCCCCCTCCGCCTGTTTCTCTGCTATTGTGCATCTGCACAGTAAGTGTCATGTAGAAACAGCACTGGATGTGGAAACAAACCTCTGACTTTCAGATGCACTAATCTGAGTGATCTTTTCTTGGCAGTGACAAACAAGAAACCCACACAGGCGTCCATTACAAAGGTCAAACAGTTTGAAGGCTCCACATCATTTGTTCGGAGATCACAGTGGATGCTCGAGCAGCTTCGCCAGGTTAATGGTATTGATCCTAACGGGGTGAGTGAATTGTCCAATGCTGAGCAAAGGCATTCTTTTCACAAGATGACTCTGATTGACCTTGGTAGTGGTGATTTGAATCATTCTTAAAAAGACCATTTCTCTATTTCAATTATGTGATTAAAACTTTCTGATGCATACTCCCTTCTTATGGAAAATTATAAATCTTTTCATCATGTTTAATAGAGGAACCTAAGAGAATGCATATGGAAGAAATGTGACCTCTGATAGCATTGATCAGCAAAGTACGAAGATCAGAGTGCAGATAATCATGCCCATGCTTATTAATATGAAAAAAAATGTTTACCAAAACCTCATTTACCTCCTAATGCCATCAATGACAAGGTGTATATACCAAAAATCAAGCAAATGAATGCTATTTTTAAGTATGTATTGTGATTCTGTTGCATTTAATAGGAGAAACATTTGATGGCATAGTTATCTACGTGAAGTATATTCCCATTGCTCACATGCACACCTCACAAAACGTTAATAATGAAGAATAATAAAATATAAATTGTTACTATAGACTAAAATAGCAAGACAGAATCTTTACCTAACGAAGTTTAGGGGCCAGATTGATATAGGTCATTGCTGAGAACCTAAAGGAATCCCTTTTCCAGGAAATTGAGAAGACAATACATGGCCTGAACTCTGACATTTGTCAGTGTTTAATTAGGCTTTCTCAATTAGTTTCCTAGGAACATTTATCAATATTGTAAGAATTGGGGTTTGCTTCACAAACAGAGAAATATGGACGCTCCATACACTTGGATAAAGATGAGCCTTATGTTTGCGATCAAAGTCTTTGTTTTAGCCTTAGAAATCTTTTGACAGAAGTAAGCTAGAAACAGCAGTTTTTATAGATTGAGATCAGTAGTTGTTTCATTGTCTTTTCCAGGATTCTGCAGAGTTTGATTTGTTGTTTGAAAATGCTTTTGACCAGTGGGTAGCCAGCACAGCGTCAGAAAAATGCACCTTCTTCCAGATCCTTCACCATACCTGCCAAAGGTACCTCACAGACAGGAAGCCAGAGTTTATTAACTGCCAATCCAAAATTATGGGAGGTGAGTGGGCATTTGTGTGACTTTAGTCATCCTGCTTCTTTAGGCTCACTTTTACACAAGAAGTTAGGTGTTCAACGGCATAAAGACAAAAACGAACGAAGAATCAAAATGCTCAGAGCTAGACAAACGTGAGAACCATTCCAGGGAGTTTATTGTATGGTAAATCTAGATACAAAGATATGTTTTCACTCTTGTCCAAAAGCTGGTCTTTTTTTAGAATCAGCCTTCTAGTTCTTCACTTAGCTAAGATTATTTGTACCATGAGAACAAAGCTGTTTCTTTATTAGAAAAACCTTTTAGATTGGTTTATCCACTATCTTTTCATTGCAGAACACTATTTTCTGGGTTGCCTTTTCCTATTGTTTTCTCAAGATGTTTTACAAATATTAATATAAAAATTCCAACAGATGCTTTCCCTTTCTTTAAAATAGCAGCTCATGTTTATTCCTTGAATGGCATATAAAGCTGAGTTAGGATGAGTGTAGTAAGCCACTGTAAAGGGGTGAGTACCAGCAGTGGCAACATAATGAGAAACGTTTAGAGGGTGCTTAGCACATTTTTTTTTAGGTGGCATTTCTTTTTAGAGAATTGAAACTGTGCTAAAATTGTAAAAGCCTTGACAACTCTGTGAGTTGGGGAAGAGTGTTTTTATCATTGGTCTTTTCACTGACCTGTTCTCTTGGTTTTGAAAGACTTTTTAAAAAAAATACACCAGCTTTGCCTTAATCAAATGTTAAATGGAGATCACATTAAATACAACACATCTTCTCCTTGGGCTGTGTGTGTTGCATATGAACATGTAGCAGAATCCATCTCTGTCCTAGCAACTGACTCACATAATGTCATTTTGACATCAGTCACTACAAGTTGTATGGAAAACTTATTATCCAATTCTTTGGTGTTATCCACTGAGGTTTTGGCATTCCTTTTAAGTAGGAAGTTGCCTACATCATAAGGACCTTGAAAGGTCTGTCTTAGGTATCTATGCAAATTCTTTTATTTCTGTTTCTCTGTTTAATCCCAGGAAGATACAAGAGTTGATAAATGGTGTATATTTTTTTCAGTTGGCCACATCCTATGGTACAAAAGTTAAAAATATTAGATGTTTAAAGGAAAGGGAATTTCAAACACTGGCCTATTTGGAAAATATAATGAGATATAGCTCTGTATCATGTCTGTGCCACCAGTGCTGCTAGAATGATTCCTGTTTTGAAAGTCCAGACTTAAGAGACTTGGCAGAGTTGAAGCACACCAGGCTTAGGACTGCAGATGGCCACATTTTCAGTGAATAGAAAGCTGGCCGGGAAATCCCAGGTCTCCCTTATTCTTCATTAGGTGGAGTTTGCTCTGCTAGCCTAGAATCACGTTTGTTTTTCAATCTTCAGTTCCTACTATGAAGCATTTTTCTCATTCTTGTCTGTATGGTCAGTAGCTTACATGGCTAGCATGTAAGCACAGAGTCTCTCTATAAGTAATGTGACACAATGGATTTGAAATTTCTGTTGCTCTTGGAGAAAGACTCCCCTCAAACATTCCACTTCTTCATGTTCCATCCTGGCTAGAGTGGCCAGAACAGACCAAGTGCCATAGAAACTACTGCACTTCCTCAGAATGGAAATGTGGATGGAAGCAAAAGGGCCACACAGTCACTGACATTGTAAGGAAATGAGCTACCTCCTTCATGCTAAGGTTAGGGATAGCTTAGCTGACTCCTCTTCTTCCTCCTTTAACAGACTGCACTGGGCAGTCACTCTGCTCTGTTGCCCCTAAAGCTCTCATTTGTTCTCTAGGAACAGGCTTTTTCATTCATTCATTCAATTACAGTTCAGTATCCAATCATACAATAAATGAGGAATAAGAACCTACTACATGCTAGTCACTGTGCTACATCCTGGATATAGAGAATAATTCTAAATTTGGTCCCTTAGTAGACCCTAATTGCCACTACTCAAATCTCAGACTGATAAATCTCTAATTTGTTCTTCCTTTGCCTTCCTGAATATCCTCAGGCCTTCCCACACAGCCTCACCATACCACACTGCTTCTGTCTGTCATTAACCCAGCCCTTCAGCTGTCTTTCATTGCCTTGTGAACCCCAAATTTTGCAGAATTGAGATGGGAACTCATATGTCCAATGTTTAATTGTTGGTATGTGTATTGAATAAAGCCAACGACTGGTTTCCTTTAGTAAGAAAAAAATAAAATAAGTTAATGAAACCAATGTCAGAATTGCCTTTGCCTTTTGTGACTGTAGGTATGTCCCTCAGCTGCTCCAGTCCTCAGTTTTCTCAGGTGTTGCATGTAGAGGTTAGACTAGATGCCACATAAAATCTCCTTCAGTTCCATCATTTTGAAAGTCTTTAATTCCTAAATTATAGTTTTATTGTATAGGTTAATTCTTAGCTAAAGAATCAAATTAAAGATTTAGTGCAATTAAATTTTGACAAGTCCTGGATTACTAAGGGAGGCACAAAAAGGTTTGAATTAAGCATGTAGTAATTTGTTGGCAACACATATATTCTTGATGAATGCAGCATGTCTTAAACAGTTGCTTATCCTTGATAACAGTTGTGCCAACACGCCCTAATAAATTAGTATGCTGATTAGTCTTCTTTGCTGCCAGCTTTCACACTTTTGAGACCTCAAAATTAGGTGCATCTGGGGCCACTACATTCTAACCTCTTTAACTTTTAAGTAGCTTCCACATCTTTATGTATATGAAATCTATTGTCAATTTCACAGTATCTTTTGGTCTCTCCCCACAGTATGGGCTACAAGTCCTAGATACAGTTGTTTCTCATACCATGAAATAGGATAGATTTATGATTTTAAATAACTAATATTGGTGTTAGTATTCTGCCCTACATGATATCCTGTACATATGTTATCTAATTTAATTTTTATAGCAGACTTTGGAAATATACTTTATTAACTTTGTTTTATACAGAAGGAAACAGAATCAGAGAGACCAGATAGCTTGCCAAGGATCATATAGCTAGTAAGTAGTGGAGATACGATGCCAGTGCAGGCCCACTCATTGGTTCCTTAAGGCCACTGATTGGCATGCTTCAGGAAACACCATTGACATTGTCTTTGTTATGAATGGTGCCCCCTAGAGTTGTGCAGGAATTTCTGGGAATATTTTAGCCAGCCCATTCCTAGGTATTTAAAAAGGGAGGTGAGAGAAAACCCACCTATATGGATAGTTTTAACTTTTTTCCTAGTTTTGTCCCAGGAAAATATTTAAGACAATTCTTAAGCTATTTTTTTATCTTAAGAACAATCGAGTCATCAAGCACCTTTTTAAAATAATCTTGCTTTTTGTTTTTTGGGTTTGTTCACCCCAACTGCAATAAATTAAATAGATGAAAGCACTGAGAAGACGGTACAGCCCTAGCCACCTACAGGGCCTCTCAGGTACTCTGTGTCAACCTACAATAATGAAAAGGTCCAAATCTAGATTAAAGAGAGTTTAAATACTAAGATTGAGGACAAGCCCACCCAAGAAGCACAGATTCCTAACAATAGAAGTCAGTGTTACAAAGCACAGAAGTCTGAGATTGCTTATGTAGACAAACCCTAGGGAATTTTAGCAGAATCTCAACATCTTTCTATGTAAGGCTTAATACATAGTCACAATGACCTGATTAGTTGAGATGGTCCTTCTCTTTTGGGAAAGGTACATTTAACATTCCATTGCAGTTACTGCAGATGAACAGTCATTGGGACCCTGATTCAGAGGACCATCTAGTCTGAGTTAGGTACAGGACAATAAAGGAGGCAGTTAACCTCTAACAAAGATTTGTGATTGGAAGGTAGAGGTCTGGTCTCTAGTATCCTAGCCATTTACAGAATGAGAACAATGAGGAAGAGAGTTAAGCTATAGTCTAAGAAGTAGAATTGCAAAATATGCTATATGACTCAGATCACAGCCAGATCTCTCTCAAGGCTTAAAGTGTTTTGGGGGCTTCAGCAGCTTTTAAATTGTATTTATTTTCACACCTGTATCTGGTCCAACCCTGTCATTGGGAAAACTGAGGCCCAGCAATTCTGAATGACTTTGTCAAGGCCAGGAACTACACAACAGCCTACAGAGATTGAAGGCAAAGGTGTGGAGCCAGTTCTGGCTGCTGAAAGGTGACATGGCCTTATGAGTGACAGGGTTGCCTGAAAGTAAAGTCTCAGGTTCATGTGGTTTGTATTTACTTCTTCTGAGATGGTAGCTTTTATTTTCTCTGTGTTTATTGTAAACAGAAATGATGTTATACTGTTACAACATGTTACACTGTTATACATGTGATAACACATTTGTTTTCAAATTTGTACTTCAAAGGGCCTCTAAGGAGTTGACAACATGTATTATTAAAGTCCAGAGGAGGGACTTACTTTCAGCTAATTCATTTCAAAGAGACAGAGACGTGCTCTGCCCCAAATAGATTGTCAGTTTAGATAATGGGTGTGCCATATTAGGTGAAGGTCCCAAGGAAGACTTTGTTACTTTACTTACATCAGTATTCTTAAATTTGTGAGCAAATTCCACATGGCTCCCACATTGCTATTTCATTTGTGTTGACCAATTTGTAATGATTACTGTTGGCCTAGTATTCACATGCCTAATACTGTGAACTATAGAAATCTTTGGTGATACTGGCAGTTTCTGTGTTAGAACCACAAAGTAGGTTTTCAAACCCATTTTCTTTTTCATTAAGAGGTATCAATTATTTGCAAGAAAAATGATTTATTCTTCAAGACAAGCATAAACTGAAGCATATATCCTAACCTTTTTCTTGAACTCTGAGCCTGAACACCCTAGCTAACTCATTCAGTTCCCTCTTAACTATTTCACCTGTTGTATATCCTCCTTCAGTGGGTCCCACCCTATTATATGAGGACCAGTTGTACGTACACACGTCCTCATTGATTCCACAAGCATTTACTCAGCAATTTGTAAATGTGCTAAGCTAGCTGTGGAGATCCAGCCACAAAGTAGGCACCTTCAC